AATTATTTGACATCAGGAATCACGTTTGACACTCTGTAGGTTAGTTCAGTTGTCTTAGGATGGGAGATTGAGAGTTCTATTTGAACAAAAAGATACAGTCAGTGTCATGTTTTCCAAAAGTGTGGGTTTTTTTTTTGTTTTTTTTCTTTTTTTGTGTGTGTGTGTGTGTGTCTATTTCTAGTTTTCTTAGTTCCCTCGGAAAAACTAGACTGGTCTATGTATTTGTCATTTAATATCTCTTCATTAGTTCCATTTTTTTTTCATGGAATGAACTTAAATTTGGTAACAAGTTCATTTGTAATGTCATATATATCACAATATTCTAATTTAGTCTAAGACTTATTAGCCTACGTTGCTTTAGAATTAGAATAAAGCTAAAGCTATTCACAGGGCTGTATACAACTTGTTTCTAGTAGATTAAAAATTAATTTTATAGTCTAATCAGAAACAAAAATACATCACTCTTTCATGTACAACTTAAATTTCATCCATTATTGCTATTAAAATTTTGTTACCAAATATTTTAAATTTGGGATTGTTCATAATTTATAGACAAATTAAAAATGTGGAAAGAAGATACAATTGGAAGAGAATAGAAGATTCAAGTCAGTATAACAGAAACAAATGAAAGCATTATTAAATTGCTGATAACTTATTTTTCCCTAAGGAACAAACCTCTATTTTCCATCGCACAATAGGTGAAATTCAGAAATCAGTTTCTCCTCTATTGGAATGAATGTGTCACATTGAAACATATTTTTCCCCCAGCTCCAATTTCTCACAGATCATTTGGCAATCCATCTTTCAAGCCGTATTGTTCAGGTATATGATCATATTTGAAATTCTAGCACCCATTAATCACTGCTCTAGTCCACATTTACTCAGTTCCTATTCTGTTCTGGACTGCAAGTGCTGCGTAAACTATTTGCTTTTCTGGTGCAGCACTTGCACAGCATTTTGGCAAACTCAAACAAGATGTTCCCAATTGACTTTTGGCCAAAAAATGTAGTAGATTGTTCTTACATGGAATTTGATGCCTACATGTTTTTGCTTGATCACTGTTTCAAGCATCTCTTTTGACTCTGTTATCACTTTGGTCTCACATTGCTTCTGTTCTGACTGTAGAATGGAAACAATTTTCACACAAGCCTGAAGACAGTTTTCAGCACCTGAATTTTTTGCTCTCCCTCATGCATCTTTAGGTTTTCAGGAGGCTCATTTAAGCCTTTATTGTTTGCAGTCAGACAAACTTGTTGCTTTCATGGAAGGAGAAATAAAGTTCAGACTGGAGATAAGTATCAGATTGATTTTGTAAAAACAGTACAGTTTATCTGACACTTTTAAATATTTGCATTTCAGTAGGCACTCAGTTCTAAGTGAGGTTATGCTAGAAATAAATTGAATGAGAATGTATTTGGCACAAGCACTTACTGACTTTAGGCCGAAGAAAGATGGAAAGAAGGGAAAACGAGATTTTTCTCATCAAACTTAAGCTGTTTAAGAAATACAGTCATGAGAAGTAATAGCATAGCAGATAGTAGCCATCATTTATCTTATGTGTCTATCCTGTGTAGGGAAGAATAGAGGGTGTCAAACTCTCTCAACTGATTACAGGTTAAGTCTCTATACATAACTTTGACTAGAAAATGAGCATTCAAATAGTTCAAAAAAGATAATGACTCTTTCAAACGGCTTCAGTGATACAAACAAAAAAAGATTCTGCCTTAAAGAGTCTGGTTCAAAGTCACATGGCAAATTATGTCACAGCTAAGAGCATAGATCAAGTTTCCCGAGTTGCACTTCAATGCATGTCTATCCTGTTCCTCTTGCTTCTTTAGTGTTGACCTGAACCATTTGAACCTGCTCAACTGGGAAAGAGATGGCCTGATTGTCACAAAAAAACACTGATGTTTCCATTTTTCACAACTGCCTAAAGAACAGCTTTTCTGCCTATTTCATATTCTGATCTGTATTTCGCCCACAGTTCCATCCTTAAAATTGAATGTTATACAGTTTTTGGCTCTTCTGCTTCATATACTAGCCAGAATAAGCCTAAGGAAATCAAAAAAGTGAAACACCAATCCCAGTGCGCAGACACTTTAGAACATTAAATATGGATTGACCTTTTTCAGTAGAAGAGGACACCAAGGGTCTTATTATGCATTGCGTGTTTACTACTATAATTCTGTGCTGATTGCTTGTCTATCCTGTTAAAACATAGAACACATTTTGCATGCTGTGTAGTGATAGATATCTCAGTGTTTCATCTTTACACAGCATAATGTAACTGGGTCACTTGAGGACAGAGTGTGGGTGGTACTTGACAGTTTTATAAACAAATAGAAATATCTGCTCTCCCCAGAGCTTAACTGGGAAGCTTAACTTTCCAAGCCACTGGTGCTGAAAGTGTGGAAAGTTATATCCTCTCTCAGGAAAGAAATAGAGGTAGAAGCAAATTTAGAATGTACAGAATACATAGAATCACAAGGTTGGAAATGACCTTCAAGATCATCTAGTCCAACCATCCTCCCATTACCATTGCTACCACAAGCACTAAACCATGTCTTGTAGCTCCTCATCCAGGCGCCTCTTGAACACTGCCAGGGATGGTGACTCCACCACCTCCCTGGGCAGCCATTCCAGTGTCTGACCACTCTCTGAGAGCAAAAGTTCTTCCTTACATCTAACCTAAACCTCCTCTGGTACAGTTTGCAGCCATTTCCTCGGGTCCTGTTTGTTGCCTGGAATTTGAGGCACTTCAGCTGATTCCAGATTTCCTAACGATCTAACTCTAAAACCTCTCTCACCCTTACTCTATCACTGTATAATGAAGTGCAAAATACTTGTAGCTTCCATATTGAGAAGACAGAAGTTAATCCATAATACCACAGATGGCAGAGATACTTCAAGACTGTTTCTGCCTACAGCCTTCCTAAAGGCCTTGATATTCAAATTACATCCATTTAGACTCTCCTGCTCATTGATAAGGTAAATGTTAGCAGGACTAGGGGATCTTGAGAGGTGACACAAGGCTTCAGGTCTAAAGAAAGGAATGTAGTTTTCTCCTCTTTCATACATTTCAGAACTCTGAGTCTGACTCTGAGTTTGTCAGACTGTTGATAGCTTATCTCACCAAGAGCCTCATTACCTTTTGAGACAAGATTTTTTTTACCAAGGGTATTAGTACTTGCTCAGCTGTGTCTTAGTAGGAGTATTGTTTTCATTCCATGTCTTGGACACTTTCCATATCTTTATGCATAACTAAATAAGACATGCTGATATGATGAATATTTACTTCTTTACTTTCTGTCTTTGTGCTACTATACAGACTTGTTTATACAGTTTAGTGGTAGGCACCACCGTGATGTCTTTCCAGTTCTGGGGAATGTACTGTATGAAACTTAACTACTTCAGTTTTGTAGAAAGCGTTCATTGAACATTTATCAAAACACATACTAGCAAATGCAAAAACACTGTAAATAGATGTAATTGCTCTCAGTGCTGCCAGTGAAGAAACTGACTTATTTGAATGACAAAATATTTCACTGAGTACCATCTTTACACCTATGAAAAAAGATTTAATGCTATAAAATCAGGTCTAGAAGAGTATATTGTGAGGGTATGTGTTTGTAACATCATTTCTTTTAAATTTGAAGTATGATGTTTAAAAAGGACAAGAAAACAGCAGGAATACCAGATACATCCATTTCCTTTGTGATAGGACTATCACCAATTTGAAATTTCTTTTGATGTGCCCTTAGGAGTAGTAGCAGGAGTTCCTGTGATAATTCTTCTCCCAGAGGCACCTTGAGCTTTAGAGCTAGATTTATTCACTCATGTAAGAAATGACCCATACTCATGAGCTAGTCAAGTGAAAGAACTGTTAAAGTGCCACTAGCATTTTACCCTCACTTGAGAAACAACAAATCTGCTTTCCAGACTCCAATTTTTTCCACACAAGTGCCTCACTTTTTAATTCAAACATGATTTTTTTTTCTGGAATCAGACATTCTATTTTTTCCTCTCACGTTGCTCTGAACATATTAGCCCCACTAGTGTGACCTTCCTTTCTACAGAAGGCCAACTGCATCTGTGGGCTCTGGCAACATCAACTCTTTATGAATTTGACTGCAGCTACTAATCCAGTCCATTTTTAATTACTCTGAAGAAAGGAGATAAATTTTAATTTCTCAGAAATACGATTGCATGTACACCTGAAAGGGAGAGCAGTACTATAAGATGCTTTGAAAACAGAGTAAAAATGTCACTTAGTCAGGTGTTATCTTGGAGACAGTGGGGTAGATTTAGCTTCTTATTTTATGTTCACAGAGGCAGGAGATGTGGAGAACCCTACCCCCTTGGGCATCTTTTCTCATTGAGTTCAGTGTCAGTTTCTTTTTCAAAACCTTCAGGACTTGAACCCTGTTTAACACCTCTCTGTTGAGCAATTTTGCTGCTCTGTAGTTGATGCCTAGTCAACAAATTGTGCCTGCAATTTTACAGTAGGATAACATTACAGATAAGACACACCTACTGGGCACTTTCAAGTTACAATGTAATGTTAGTCATTGCTTTTATGTATGTTTATACACAATATCTGCCTGAAGATATACATTGATTTCCAGCCATTAGAAACACATTTAATATTGGCTGAGTGTTTAATCCTTGTTCACATAAAATGTATTTTAACAACTTCTTTATTTTGTTGCTAAAAATTATTAGCTTGGAAATATTTGATATGGCTATGATCATCACCATGATTATTGTCTTAAACTAGAATTCTTCCAGTGATGTTATTCCTTTCATAAAATTGAGTTATTATTGTAAATTAACTTTTGTCTTTTAATAGGTACATTCCCTTAACATGTATTGATTTAAATGGACTCAACTGTATTTCAAAAGTACTAAAGATTTTCTGACTATCACAAATAAAAATCGAATCTACTGTTACTTTACTTCTATCAATTTTTTTTGAGCTTTTATTGATAAGATAGAAAAAATGTTATGTGGATTTAGACTGAGATTCACATTGTAGGATTAAATGCTTAAATCTAGGAGAACAATTCTGACAACCTTCCTATCAATACAGCAAACTCTGAAAATATATATTTTTTTTCTCTTAGTACCTCAGTTGCTGAAAACTAATTTCACGCATCATCATGGGCTGAAAAGCTAAATGCCTGCTTTCTTTCTGCATCCAGCTGTCAGTTCAGAGATGTGCAGAGCAAAACTCACTCTCTCTAAGGCCCTGGAGGTAAGGAACCCATCAGGGGCTGTGAAGCCTGGCAGCCATGGTCCCCTTAGCTGAGAAAAACAGTGGGATGGAAAGGAAGGGATGCTGTTGCCATCTGCCCTTTAACATATTTTCTACCCATTTTCTGTCTGTCCCGTATCAGACAAGGTATGAGTGTCCTTGCCTTGATGGAATTGAAAGTGGTTTCTTTGCTTTGCCAGGGATCTTAGAATAGGCTCTTTTTATATCCTTCCTGTTAGAGCTACACAAAAAAGGATGAGGTTACAGAAGGGGAATAATTTAGTGAAGCCTTGAGCCCTGTTTTTTCCTGCTTTTTATACTAATATCCTGAATTTTTTAAGCAGAGCTGGAAATGTGGTCCATGTTATATTCCGGTGCCCAGTTATAGGGTCTCTGTTTGAGATGTAAGCCTGGTTTTAAATCATATCTCTGCTATGCTGGATTTAATGGAGGAATTGTCCTAACTATCAGGACAAATGAACATTTTTTATTTATCTCTGGAAGAAAAACTCATGTATTTTGCAGAAAGCTGAGAAGATTCAACTTCTGTGAGAGGGAGAGTAATTCCAATCAATGCCCAAGGGTCAAAGAGTGCTTCAAATATCTGTCCTTTCATCAAAGGGTTATAAGAATTTGTTGAAACTGTATCTCTTCTACATTATGGAACAGTTCTAGACATTGAGAGTGATGCCTCAGCTCCCAGCAGTTTGTGAGTCTGAACTCTAGTTCAGGTCTTTATTTTGAGGTTCTTGAGGTCATTTATTTATTAAAAAAAAAAAGAAAAAAAAGAAAAAAAAAAGTGGCATGTTTTATTTACCACTGCACATTTCGGAAAAAATTAGAGATTCCAGAGAGTATCCCGCTTGGAATAATTCCATGTAATCTAGTAAACAAATATATCTTCCTATAGATTTTCAGTCTACCAACTAAATGCGGTGATGCTAGAACCATTCTCTTCATCTCACAATCTCTGGTATACAATGGCAGATGATTTCAGATTACATTCTCACAGGCTGGGTTTTCTTTTCAGTAACAAACGAAGTCACTAGTAGAGTTAAACCGTTGTGTTTTTCCTAATTTCTTCTCCCAAACTTTGTCTTTGCTTTTTTTTTTTTTTCATCATGTGCTCAGATTCTACAGGCATTTGAAACACTCAAATGCAGATTGCAACATTTCTGCTGTGCCATGAGGTTAAAGAAAGACAGAAAAAAAAAAATAAATTAGAAGTTGTTCTACTTGTGTTAGAACAAGGCAATCAATTATTTCTTCCTTCAAAAGAACTCTGCCCAAGTTCAGACATGGATTGTTGATGCATTTCAGAAATTGTATGACAGCATTAAAGAATGTTATGATTCATGCCCCACGCTTGCATCTCAAGATTGATTCAACTGACTATTATCATGTTGCAGAATGTGGTGGTGGTAAACACAAGGAAAGATGTGCTACATTTAAGAGCCTTCCATGTCAAAATACACATCAACTTTGATTGATACATACTGACTCACGGCCATACAGGAGAGATGTAAGATTTGTCAGCTAGGATTACAGCAGTGTAATTATTTACACTCCCAAAATGTTGGGGATGATATAGTGTTTATGTGAAGTATCATGTTAATGGAACTACTAGAAAATCAATATCAGTATTAGAATTGGAAGCCATTTAATCTATTATTTTTTTTCTGATAGAGTTTCACTGTAGAGTTTTATTCCTCCTGCATACTCACACAAATCTTTTGTGTGTTGTTTGTAGCAATAATTGCTTCATCACTGGTGATTACAGACAGCCTCTTGTATTCACTTCCCTTATTCATAGGCATATACTCTCATCTCTGAAAACCCTATCCATTTCCGATTTGACATGATTCTCCTTCAGCACACTAAGGCATGGAGCTGAGTTACTAGCCCTACAACAGACACATCATGTAACCCTAATCTATTCCCTATGTACTGAGAAGTCTGAAGAACACTATTTGATGGGATTTGTCTGTTTCTGTTGCACTCCTGTAGAATGCCAGCTGTTGATTGCTACTTTTATACCGTTTGTATCTGGGGGCTCGGATCCTTCTGCAAGGCTGATAGAGTTATGATGATTATAAATAACAAAAAGACAGTGAGGGATTGGGCCCATTCTTAAAATACTATATAAATGCAAACACATCTCTGCATGTCCATTGGTAGGATAATTTGCTCACAAGCCAGCAAAGTCATCAAATTGGAGCCCTCTTATTTGCCTTGCACACCTGATTGAGTACTTACTTAGATCCTAGACAAAAGTAATAATCTTCTATAAATCATGCTGAATAATAATAACAATTATAGTAATGATGGATACATGTGCATTCATTTGTGTTACTCTCAATCACACTAATGGGATTTTGATGCATAAATCTCTCACAAGATTACATTGTTAAGAATGCAAAACTGCTGTTTCATTTAATCTAAAGAAAAAAATTTCCTTAGGTAGGATTGTGTAGTGATATAGATAATATTATAGTAGACATCTTATGGAAATGCTCAGCACTGATTTGGTAATAATTGCTATGGGGATTATAGATAACTACTATTTTGTATACAAACATTCCCTTGGGAACTGCTATGATACTGCCTACAAAAGCCAAATATGTGTTCATGAAGAAACTGCTCTAGGTGAACTGTATGGGTTTCTATTCTCCACATATAAATAATGTATAAAAAGAGAGAAAAGTCAGAAAAGCTTTACATGATAATTTAAATGACAGAAACTGGCAAATAAGCAACTTCAGAACAGACTATAACATTTTTGGGGCAGAAAATGCCTTTTTGTCTTGTATTTGTAGAGCACTGTGGCACTTCAGATGGTGTTTTTAGAGTCTTACCAAAACAGAAGTAAACCAGAGTAGTAAAGATGCTAATGCAGCAAATAGCAAATTTCCATGACCAGCTATTGATTTTGAAGATAGCAGTCATGTAAGTATATATGCAAAGATGTTTGTGTTGGTAAGTTGGTAAGAAGCTCAAGTGGCTTCTTTTTAGGGGAGCCAGGAAAAACAGATTGGCTGGTATTTAGTCCAGCTCTTTAAAGGGAAGCACTGTCTCTCAATCCAGGCTGGACTCTCTAGCCTATCATTTTATATCTAGGTCATACAAATAAGAGACTTTTCTCCTCATCTCTAGTTTCTAACAATTCTATATTTTGATGCTGATTTCAAGCAAACAAAAGTATCAAATTCAAATGAAAGCTGTGTTTGCACTGGTGAACTTTTAAAGGCCTGTAATACAAACTGTAATACAATACAAACAGTAACTGTGGAATTATTATAAAACTTGGAACAAAGAATTACTGATGGGAAATTGGACTGAGCAGATGAGCTCTGAAGTCTGGGTTTCAAGATGGAATAAATTCAAATTTGACAACTGTCTGAAATATGCACATTGCTTTTGGAAAGAATACATGAGGCTACAAAAGGCTGCTAACTTTTCCCAGTTCTCCTGTTGGGACAGTTAGTGCACACTTTCTACTTGATATCACTTTCTACTTGCTGAACTTACTCCCAAATATCTGCATTTTGCATCCTACTAAACGAATAGTTACTCAGAAAGCTGATTATGCATGTGCAAGTGCACGCATATTTAGATGAGAATACTATTCTGCAGGGACAATCTTCAATGCCATCATCTTTTCTAAATTTTCTTTAAAAAAAAAAAAAGGAAAGAAGGGAAGGGAAGGGAAGGGAAGGGAAGGGAAGTTCAGGGAAGTTCAGGGAAGGGAAGGGAAGGGAAGGGAAGGGAAGGGAAGGGAAGGGAAGGGAAGGGAAGGGAAGGGAAGGAAAAGGAAAAGGAAAAGGAAAAGGAAAAGGAAAAGGAAAAGGAAAAGGAAAAGGAAAAGGAAAAGGAAAAGGAAAAGGAAAAGGAAAAGGAAAAGGAAAAGGAAAAGGAAAAGGAAAAGGAAAAGGAAAAGGAAAAGGAAAAGGAAAAGGAAAAGGAAAGGAAAGGAAAGGAAAGGAAAGGAAAGGAAAGGAAAGGAAAGGAAAGGAAAGGAAAGGAAAGGAAAGGAAAGGAAAGGAAAGGAAAGGAAAGGAAAGGAAAGGAAAGGAAAGGAAAGGAAAGGAAAGGAAAGGAAAGGAAAGGAAAGGAAAGGAAAGGAAAGGAAAGAAGAAAGAAGAAAGAAGAAAGAAGAAAGAAAAAAGAAAAAAGAAAAAAAAGAAAAAAAAAAGGCTGAGCATATCTGTTGTGTATTTCTTGGGTAATACATCAGGCAGATGTTCCCATAGGTTATAAATGAAACCATTCTCATCATTAAATTAAGTATAATAAATCTGCAACTATGAAGTTATTTGTGGTAAGGAAATGAAAATCAAATATTTCCTTATGATTTTTCATTCTTTTCCCTGTGACCTTGTTGCACAGTGTTCCACCCTAACAGCTCTGCAGGTTGAGAGGTTAGGAAAACAGACAAAGAAACTGTCTAGAAAAAGTTCTGTGCTTATGAATTTCATATATGAGATGATGCCTCACCAGAGAAAATCATTGCATGAAATGTTTTATTCTCATCTTCCAGACCTAATGCTGTACAGCACCATGTATGATGAGATATTCCCTTAATGAGTTGCCTGTAATCACAGAGTAACTGTGTCAATGTGAATGCAGACATAGATAGTCTGAGTATCATGCAGTCCCTCACTCATGAGACAATCATTTGCACCATGCTTTGCAGAGGACATGCAAGAAGAATCCTGCGCAGGATTTATGGGCAGGAGAAAATGCACTCTTCCTCTTCGTGTCCACTCAAAGCCTTTTGGGAAGCTCTCATGTAGCCTAAGTGGAGTTCTTGTTCAGTCTTCTATTCAGCTTTGAAGGACTATTTGTTTTCCTGGAAGGTGACCATTTATGAAATCACCTGCTGAATGCTGTTGAGAGTTATACCATGGAAATTATTGATAAAATCACGTTAATCCATTTGTAATGCCATAGTAGGGGAGGGCATAAGAAGATCTCAGATTGACACATGCCATTAATGCCTT